ATAGATAGATAGATAGATAGATAGATAGATAGATAGATAGATAGATATGACATTGTGATAACATGCTATATTAAGAATAATAAATAAACAGAGGTTTCAATTGTATGCTGCTTATAAGCATAAATATTATATTTAAAGTTTAATGAAAAAAAACTATTTACAGTTAAGAGTCTGTTAAAATATATGTAACTACATCCGTAATCTAACATGTTACCTGTTACGTGTCAATCATGTTATTTCTGTTTTTGCCATTGGTTGTTAAAATTCACCAGCCAATCAGAGTGAAGTTGCTGTGAATGGGCGGACTTAGTGGCGCACGTGCTGTGGAGAGCACGTCAAACGCCCCAGACAGAGAGCAGAGACAGGAGGCAGTGGTGTGGAGCAATTCAATTTTTATGGTGGAAGTCATACTTACAAAGTTTTCTGTGACCTGCACGAGGTAAATATGATGTATATGCCTGTATTTTGTTCGGTAATTTTCATATTTTAGGGAAACTGTGTAAGACGGTTAGCGAATTGCTAATTAGCGGTAGCATTTGGTTCTATTAGGCCTGTATGTCATAGTTGTAGCATAGTGATATTTCTCAAGCTAAAGCAAGTTAAGGCTAATTCAAAATGAGATAGTGTATATACTTGGCTCAATTTGGAATTTTTTTAAGGAGACTAGAGAGAGCCCTGTAAAAAAATATGACAGTGTAATAACATGTAACATTAAAAAACATCTACTACTTAACATTAAAAAATTATTAAATTGTGTGCAGCTTTAAAGAATTCATATATGTCAAGATTTTAAAAAAAGGACCATTTACCGTTGAGGTTTTTTACGTTGAAGTCTTCAAATATTTGAACCTACACAGGTAATCTAACCGACCTGTGGCGTGTCAATCATGTGCTTTCGATTTTGCCATTGGCTGTTAAAATTCACCAGCCAATCACAGTGAAGTGTCTGTGAATGGGCGGGCTTAGTGGCGCAGGTGCTGTGGGGAGCGCAGGGCGCCAACTCAGAAGACAGAGACAGAGGGAGAGACAGGAGGAATAGTGGAGTAGTAGTTTTAGCGCGGACATCCACTACTTTTGGTCCTGATCAACTTTTTTGTGACCTGCACGAGGTAATTAGGATGTACATGCCTCTATTTAGTACTTTAATTTTCATAGTTTACAGAAATTGAACCTGTAAGACGGTTAGCAACCTGCTAATTAGTGGTAGCATTCAGCGCTATTGGGCCTGTATGTCATAGCTGTAGCATTGTGATATTTCTGAAGCTAAAGCAAGCTAATGCTAATTCAAAATGAGATAGTGTTAGATACTCTAGCTCAATTGCGATTTTTTTTAAGGAGATGGTTATTACAGAGAGAGAGATAGAAATGTTTTGAGGTTCAGTCCTGTCCTGCTGAGCTGCAGGATTCTTTGCTGCACCATTAGCTGCGTTAGCTCAGATTCAAGGTCATTGTGGTTAGCTTGGATTCAAGGTCATATTGTGTGAGGTCCCAAAGGTAACATGTTGAATTTTAAGTTGTTCATTCAAGAGTAATGTTTTGAAGATAATTTAAAGATTCTGAGGAGATTGTTTTTTTTTTTGGATGGGACTGCCCCAGGACACAGAAGGGCCTCACCAGTTCATCCATTCTTCATCTCTGATCAGCTGGACCATGGAAACCTTGCGGTGTTAACAAGTGGTTCAGTCTGATCAGGTGGTAAGTACATACTACTTTTTGTAAGTACAACATGCGTGTGCTAATGATGTGGATTAGGCTTGTCAGCCGCCGATAATTGCAAAATAATGCAGAAAATGATGAAGGCTCGACTACCCCCCCCCTGCAGCAACAGCAGCCCAGTTCCTCAGTGCTCCTTGCACAAGCTTTGAGAGTGAGAGGCTCTTTAGTGCCGTTTCCCTCTTCATTGATGAACACAGCAGCAGGCTTACACCTGAGCATGTTATGTTTTTATTTTGTAAAAAAGAATCTCCCCATCATGCTGAGGCTGCAGCCAGAGCAAACAGTTCAAGGGAGTGTGTAGATATGGAGCAGAGAGGTGTGGAGGAGATTGGGGAGTAGAAGGCATTTTTGCTTTTAAAAAGTGTTCAATATTCACTGAATTTTGTTTTTTTAAATATTTTTTTTGGCTCTAGTGGCCTTTAATGACAGCAGCTTGACAGGAGGGGGGGCAGAGATAGAGAGGGGTAGACCTGCAGGAAAGGGCTGTGGGACAGAATCGAACCCAGGCCGCCTGCTTATGAGGAGGTCCTCACACATGGTGCGCCGTAAGCATTACGCTACGCTGTGGCCCCTGAATTTTTATTGTTTAAGCCTTAGTTATGCTGAGGTAATACTATTTTCTATTTAGGTTGTTGGTGTGTTTTGCTTTTTTTTTTTTTTGAACAAAGTTTTTATTATTTTTTCAGAGATAATACAGTGTGGTACGGATGTATATATATATTTTTACATTTTTAAACATAAAAAAAACAAGCGGACACAAACACAGGGTGATTACAAGAGTGTGAGAAAAACAAAAAACAAAAAAAAACAACAACCTTATTGCATAATTAGTGGAACAACAGGTCTCCAACGTTTGTTGAATATGGGTGTTTGTAATCTCAGGGAATATGTTATATATTCCATCTGGTATATGTCCCAGACCTTCTGGATCCATATGTTATAGCAGGGAGGCTTAGGTTGGAGCCATCTGATAGTGATGCATTTTAGAGCCGCTGTTAATAAGATGTTCAGAATATATTTTCCATCCCGTGTAGTGATATTTTTAGGTGTTACCCCCAATAGGGCAATGACTATGTTGAATGGGATATCTTGTTTGAATATGACTTTTAGGGCATCGAAAATGTCTTTCCAGAACTGATTTAATTTGGGGCATTGCCAAAATATGTGTGTGTGATTAGCATTGTCATTTCCACATTTTCTCCAACATAATCCTGAGTATGTCGGTCCCATTTTAGCCGATATAGCTGGTGTTCTAAAGAATCTAGTCACAACTTTCCATTTGAATTCTCGCCAGGTGTTTGAGTTTGTGACAAGGTGTGACTCCGTACATATTTCCTCCCAAGTCTCATCTGATATGTTCATCATGGTCTCTGCTTCCCATTTTTGTTTAATATTTAGTGAATTACAGGTACTTAGAGACAGAAATATATCATACAGTTTACCAATAATTTTTTTGTCTTTGTTGACCACTTGTTTGACTAAAAATTGTTCTATGGGGTTGGAATGTAATATTTTTTCCCAGTCTTTGTGAGACAGAAATGATCTCAGTTGCAAATATCTAAAAAAGTCTGTGTTGGGGAGACCAAACTCAACCTTTATTTCCTCAAATGTTTTAATGTTGCCATCTTTGATCAGTTGATATAGATATGTTAAGCTATTTTCTGTCCATTTCTTAAAGCCATTATCCAATACGTTGGGGAGAAAGGTTTTCATTGATCCAATGTTTGTCAATAATGAGAGATTCTTGGGCAGTCTGTAGGATGACCGTATTTTATTCCAAATATTAAGTGTATGTTTAGTCCACCCGGTCATTTCTTTAATTTGGACATCTAAAAATGGTAATTCTTGTAGGGGTTCTACACATTTGCTCTTTTCTATGTTTAACCATCTCGTCGTTTCATCGTTTTGGATCCATGATAACAGTGGTTTCATTTGTGCTGCCCAATAATACATTGTAAGGTTTGGGAGCTTAAGACCGCCATCCATTTTAGACAATTTCAAAGTTTTTAACCTTATTCTGGGCCGCTTTTTTTGCCATATGAAGGCCGATATTAATTTGTCGATGTAGTCAAATGTTTGTTTTGGAATATTTATAGGTAACATCTGGAATAGATAAAGAATCCGAGGTAGAATATTCATGCGCACACTTTCAACTCTGCCTAATAGAGAGAGAGGGATAGAGGACCATCGCTCTAAGTCATTGCCAATATTTTTAATTATTTTTGTGTAATTTGATTTATATAAATCACTTAAGGAGGATGGAATAAAAATGCCGAGATATTTAATGCCCTCTTTGGGCCATTTAAATCCACTTAGGAGTTTGACATTGTCATTAACAAGGTTGTTTACATCTATAACTTCAGTTTTGTCAACATTCACTTTATATCCTGAGTAATATCCATATTGCTGAATGACATATTTGAAATGAGGAATTGTTGAAGCAGGTTCGGTAAAATATAATAGGACATCATCAGCATATAATGATATTTTATGTTGTTCTGTATTTATTACAACGCCTTTCATATTCTGATCATCCCTAATAAGTTGGGCTAGCGGCTCTATGCTAATAGCGAACAGTAGGGGCGATAGTGAGCAGCCCTGTCTGCATCCACGTTCCAGGTCAAATCGGTCCGATCTATGTCCATTAACCCGTACAGCTGCTTGTGGTGATGAATAGAGTGTTTTTATCCACTTGATAAAATTTGGGCCGAATTTGAATCGCTTTAATGTTTGAAATAGGTATTGCCATGATACTCTATCGAATGCTTTTTGTGCATCCAAAGCTATGATTACAGATTCTAGTTTTTCATTGTTCAGATGGGATATTACATTGAAAAGACGCCGAAGATTATTGCCATAGTACCTTCCTGTTATGAACCCAGTTTGGTCAGGGTGTATGATATGGGTTATTACTTTATTGACACGCCTTGCTAATACCGCTGTTAGTATACGCAGATCACCATTTAACAAAGATATAGGCCTATGGGATTGGCAATCTGTGGGATCCTTGCCTTCTTTATGAATAACAATTATTGTGGCTTCTGACCATGATGGTGCCAATTTTTGTGACTCCAAAGCGAATGAATAAGCTTTTAGTAATAAAGGTGCAAGTGAGTCTTTAAACACTTTATAGAACTCATTAAAATAGCCATCTGGCCCTGGACTTTTATTGCCCTTAAGGGAAGAGATGACTTGTTTAATTTCGGTCTCCTCGAGAGGTTTGTCAAGTTCTTCAGCTAACTGGTCTGTCAGTTCTGTGATCTTTATATGTTCTAAATATTCTGCAAGTTCCTGCTCATTTGTGCATGTGTCCGTATTTGTATACAGTAATTTGTAAAATTCTGAAAATGCTTTAGATATGTCATTTGGTTTAGTAACATAAGTTGATTGGACCTTAATTTTTTGTACAATATTTGATGCTTGTTGTTTCCGTAGTCTAAACGCTAATAATTTACTGGCCCTATTTCCATCCTCATAGTATCTTTGATTCGTGAATCTTAAGTTACCTTCAATTTTAACAGATAATAGGCTATTTAGTTGTCTTCGAGTCGCGTTTAACTCTTTCACACTGGTAGCTTTTTTAGATTGTTTATGTTCATATTCCATTTTTTTTATTTTACATTCTAGTTCCTTTTGCTTGGCTTCTCTCTCCCGCTTTCTCGCTGCTGCGTATGAAATAATTCTGCCTCGCAAGTATGCTTTAGCGCAGTCCCATAAAATTAGAGGATTTGTTTCTGGTTTAGAGTTGTTGTTCAGATATTCCTTTAATTCATTGGTAATGAAGGACACAAATTCTTTATCATTCAACAGGGATGTATTTAGCCTCCACTGTTTGGTTGTTGGTCTAAGTCCTATGTCCCATTGTAACAGGACAGGCGCATGGTCGGATAAGGTGATTGGCATAATCTCAATATCTGTCACTTTGTCCAAATTTGCCTTAGGAGTAAAGAAATAATCTATCCTAGAGTAAGATAGATGTCTATTAGAATAGAAAGTGAAATCTCTAGCTCTTGGGTGTTTACTTCTCCATACATCGACCAGACCAGCCTCTAAAGCAAGGTGTTTAAGGGCTTTACTCATTTTAGGCATTGGTGTTCTTGATGGTGGTTGTCTATCGGCAAACTGGGACATTGTACAATTAAAATCTCCTGCCATCAGCAACAGTCCGGTACTATGTTGTATGATTTTATTGAATAATGTTTTAATGAATCCTGGTTCATCTTCATTCGGTCCGTATACGTTAATGAGAGAAACTTCGACACCATCAATTACCCCGTTAACTATTAAAAATCTCCCTTCACTATCCCTATGCAATGAATTTTTGGTAAAGTTTATCTGTTTGTGAATAAGTATTGAGACTCCTCTTTTGCGTCCAGATTTGTGGGAAGCGTAATATATTTTGTCTGCCCATGATTTTAACTTTTCGTGTTCTGCATCAGGCAGATGCGTTTCTTGAAGAAAGGCAATGTGGCAGTTGAATTGTTTTAGCTGGCGCAATATTTTCTTTCTCTTAATTGGGCTATGAAGCCCTTTCACATTATAACTTACAATTCTCAGTTCACCCATTGTTCTATAGATTTTGATTTATTTTTAGAACTGTTGGTCTCATAAGCAGGATGGGAAGCATAGATGTGTACAGTGAAACATGACATCAGTTGAAATAAGCAATAAACACCCTTTTGTTTGGAACATAACACAAGATCCCCGGGGAACAAGGGGGTCATAACTTGAACACTAACACAAAACCTATATAAGTTAAATAATGAAATTGACATTATTTAAGGGGAAACTCGTTCCTAGCCGCCTAAATAGCAGCAACAGAGCACAACATAGGTCCAATTCGGCTGTGCTTTAAGTTCGCCAAGACAAAATCTGAGGTAACAATTAGACTTCTTAAACACTGCAAGAGCAATGCCTAGGACTCCTGCAGAGCAATAACAAATAAGACAGCTGTTTGCTATATTTTTTGCAAGCTAAAAAGGGAAAACAAAAATAATACCAACTAAATAAAAATATATAAATGAATAAAATACAAAAAAAATAATAATAATAATTAAAAATAATAATATTAAATTATGTGAAAAATGAGAATGAAAAAAAAAAAGATTATAATTCAATGAAATAATGACAGAGATCTGTAAAATTAAATACGCAGCAGAGGTAGCAATGATTAAAAGTAATTGAAAAATAATAAAATAAGACTTGTTGGCAAATAGACACTTAAACACCCAAACCAACTATATGCATATGCCAGGCAAATAGCAACAAATCACAAACCTTGCACCTTGCTTAATAGTCTTTACCACTGTATTTTGTGGAGTGTCCGGAGATGGATTTAGTCATTTGCTGCAGGCCGCTCCTCCATTAGGATCTGTTTGGCATAGTCCATAGCCTTCCGATGATCCACAAACTCTCTGCTGTTGCCATTATGGGTTATTCGAAGTCGAGCTGGGAAGAGAAGACCGTAGCGTATGTCCTTTCGTCCGCGTAGGGCACTCCGCACTTCTGAGAATGCCGCTCTCGCCTTAGCAACGTTAGCGGTGTAGTCCGGAAATATTGAGACACGCTGGCCATTATAAAATAACGGTGCTTTGTCACGAGCCTTTCGTAGTATCTCCACGGCGTCCTCATCATAATGCATCTTAGCAATTATCACCCGTGGCTTATCTCCATCTCTCGAGCTCCCAAAAATACGGTGAGAGCGATCCACTTTGACGTCACGATCCAGCTGTAGCATTTCTTTCAGGGCGCTAGCAATAGCCTTCGGGGTGCTGGAATTAGCCTCTGGGATGCCCGCTAGCCGAATATTGGCACGCCTCATTCTGCCCTCCATGTCTTCACATTTATCCCGCATTGTCTTTATCTCTTTCTGGAGGCTTTCCACTGTAGTCTGTAGTGTTGACACTTCATCAGACCATGTGTTCAAACCATCTTTCACCTCGTTTACATCTGTCTTTACAAGCTCCATGTCAGCACGGATAGCGGTAACATCGTTAGCGATTAGCATCTTTAGCCCTTGTAGGTCGTTTTTGATCGAGCTAATCTCGTCTGCCAGCGCCGATTTGAGCTCATCTCTTATAACGTTTTTTAGGTCTTCCCTTATGCTGGCCAGAATCTCCGCTTTCAAGTCTTCAGCCATACCTGGGACTTCACCTGAGGGATGGGTGGGTGCGGTGTGGGTCGCTCCGCCCTGTGTGGCTAATTTGGCTGTGTTCCTCGTGGTAGGCTTCGGGTTAGCTTGTTTGCTAGTGCTTGCGGTGAATTTGTATTTCTGGAGTTTGTCCGCCATTAAAACAGCAAATACAAAGCTTGGGCTTCAGTAGACATCTTCAGCATTGCGTTGTATCATTGTTCATCCAAAAATAGCTGTTTGAATGGTATAGAGTTACGGATTCTGCAGGAGCCCAGACAAGTGCGTCTTACTCCATGTCTTGCTCACTAGCGCCCCCGTGTTTTGCTTTTTTTAATAAATTTTCTACCATTATTTGAACTTTTTACTGTTCACCGATGCCATTTCTGTTTGTTCTTTTTAATTTAGTCTATTTTGTGTTTAATTATTTGTTCTAATGTACAGCTCAGTTGTGCATCTTATCTGGTTATGTGCAGCCAAGTTATTTCTGTTTATATGCTTACTTGAGAGTAAGGCACAGAAAGCAAACACGCACAGTACGTTTAGCCTTGTGAATGTCATGTAGTGTATATTAATGCATGAGACTTAAGCTGTGACTTTTTTTCTGGCCCTGTCTGTTCACAGGTCATGTTTTTTTGGTGTGTGCGTGTTTCTTCTCCCATTGTCTGGATTGGATCTGTGGATGGAAATGGATGGCGACCCGTCTTTCTTGAATGAGTGTAGGACCCATTCCCTCTTCAGGATCACTGGACCTGTCCCTCTTCTCCTGCACTCTGCGGTGTGGTAGGTCCCATTCCAACCCAAAACCCCTTTACTCATCTTCACACGTCTTTCCCCACACACATACAAACACCAACCCTATGGAACTGTGAAGTCTGACTTAGATTTCACACTTTAATTTTTCTGTTTGGACTCACTTAAGTAAACTCACCTGTTCACACCTCGGGACAGAGAATGTGGAGATGAACATTTGGACTCATACCTGCAGTTAAGGGTTACTGTTGTAATGTGAATAACTATGTGAAGTTGGATGAGGTTGGAGGGCAGTTTGACTTTCAGCAATTCCATCAGAAAGGTTTTTTACTGTCTAAAGCAAAGCTGTGAGATAACTGTTGTTGTAATGTGGCGTTATATAAATAAAATTGAATTGAATAAACCTGTGTGCAGGATAAATTAGAGGAGAAAAGGAATTAGGGAAAATACATACTTAGTAGTCAACCTATTTTTAACAAATCTGTGGTGATTAAAAGGAAAATCCTTCTTATTTTCTATTTTGACATATGTTCTCCAAGCCAATCACATGATCAATAACAAAAAATAGTTAATGACACACTTGGTGATTAGAGTATTAGAACCTAAACTTTGCCTTTATACTCCTCCAGGCATTGAAAGAGTTTGCCTGCCACCTGATGCCAAAGTTACATACAAGGATGGAACATACTGAAGTTGATGAAGAAATATTCAGTGACCCCATTAAACCAGGCAATGATTTAGAGAAGGTTTATTTTCCCTATGGTGAGATATAAAAGCAAATTAAATCAAGCATCATAAATATTTTTACAAAAGGAGTATATTGCTTTTTGTCTTCACAGTTCTCTGCTTCAAAGTCTGATCCAAGCTTCAGCTCAAATGCATCAACTTCGACAGTGGCAGTGTCTGCCAAAATGGTAACAATATCTTTTCTGCACCTCTTAACTCTGTCACCCTGCTGGGACATATCTGGGTAATCCGAATATCGCCATACATTTCCTTTCTGTTCATTTCATAGAAGGTTGAATGTGTCCTTCAAAGCAAGTCTGGTGGTAAAGAAGTTCTGCAGGAGTATAAAACAACAGAAACCCAAGTGATGACACAAGAAGACAGATGGTGAACATAGTGGTGGCTCACATGAGTAATAAACACGGGTAGGTGTGTTTTTACTCATTTTATTCTATGTAAAAATGGACCACTTGTCACTAATCATAAATGAGTAAAGTCCCTTATTTAAAATGGTCTTCTTTGCTAAAACCTGTATGTTTTTGAAGCCCTCCTTCTCTGTGTGGCTTGCCTCTAGTTTACCTGGCGTCTCCAGTGCTCCAGCGTGCGTGTGGCAGTGGCGAGGGTCCGGTGGTGGCGTGCTATCCTGGTTTTCAAAACGCTAGTTGGTAAAACTGGGATAAAATCTTAGTGATTCACTATAAAATTATTTAAAGATATTAAAATATGTTTCTGTTGTCGTGTGAGGAGGGAGGAGAAATTAATCTTAGGAATATAGATGGCTGTGTGTGGGAAATTGGTTTTCACTGCACCTACAGGCTCTTCAAACTGTTAGGGTTAGGGATCGATCCCTATAATTCCTTCTAAATGAAAGAATGCTGGACTGAACGTTGACCTTGACCCTGGTGTTGTCCATCAGGAGGATGAGTTGCTGAACGGCCGCTCTGGGAAAGGATTCAATTTGGACCTCCGGCACCTGAAAAGTGTGTCCTCTGTCCTCTCCGGTACAGCACTGCAGTCCAGTGCTGGTCCCGTTCATCCTCCATCACGTAAGTTGTCAGGCTAATAGTTTTTGTTTTGATAAAAGATGTTTAAAACTTTTGTGAAAAAGAGAAGTCTTCCGTACTCGTGCTAAAAAATTAATTCAGAGAAACCACAACATAAAAAAAAAAAAAACTTTTTATTAAAACAAATAAATTAAACAAATTGAAATAGCGAGCTAAAACACAGCAACGTTTCAATCCTTCAATGGGATCTTCCTCAGGTGGATGGTTTCCTCACAGAAAATTGAAATTGCAGAGGAGATCCTTCTGTGGAGCTGCTCTCTCTGCCTGTGGGGGGGGGCAGTCTTCGGGATGCCAGGCTTAAGTCCACGTCAGCGGCTGCTGGGACTCGTCAGGGGACCGGGTTTCTGCTTCCATCACCATCAGCGGGCTCCATGTCCCCAATCAGGAGATGCAGTCCGGGGGCCAGGGAGAGAGAGCCCCCCTCCAGGTCTGAACATGACAATGAGGGAAGAAAAGAGGTAGGAGGAAAGGAATCGCTGGGTCAGAGTCACAGTAAAAGTGTCCTATTGGTCCATTGAGAGTGGTTAGGGGAAATAAAAAAGGAGGAATAGGGCAAATTAAATCTAACAGAGTCATTTAAAGCGAGGGTAACTCACCATTCTTCAGCTGGAGGTGTTGCTCCTACCTGGGCAGCCTGTGAGGTGGGTCCATCATTTTTCAGTTGAATTAGCTGAGGGTGGGGGGGGGGGTCAGGTCCTGACCTTACATTCTTCATTTTCCAGGTGATGAAGGCTGTCCAGGTGGAGAGGACCTCCCCCCTAATGGATGAGGGGAGGGAGCTGCTGTTCCAGAGGAGTGATGGTGAACATTCAGGTAGGTATTTCATGCTCAGGAAGATGGTTATGAGTGTGTTGGTCCTGGTTCCTGTTAGGGGTTGGGGTTAGGTTTAGGTCACTTATCTCGAGGGTTCCCCCCTTAGTGGTTTGCACTTCGGTTTGGTGTGGGGAACCAACGGCAAGGCACATGTCACCTTTGACATTCCACCCCCCCCCCGCTGTGGACTAGAACTGTATCCGAACTGTTACCGACCTTCTGTGTGTCTGCAGCTGTTCTGGGGCTGAGCGGCGCCGTGGAGTTCGGGCAGCTGTGTGAAGGGAACCCCGACAACAGGAGGACAGACATCCACGGGCAGGAACACTATGGAGCCAGCCGGTAAGAGTCCAACAGCTCAGCACAAGTCTGACCTTCACCTGAGTCCGACCTTGACATGACCTTAGACTGACCTTGACATTTTCTAGCTTGACCTTGACATTACCTTGGTCTCACTTTGATATGACCGTGACTGTTTCTGACTGACCTTGAAATGACCATGAGTTTTTGTATGACCTTGACTTGTTTGTATGACCTTGAAATGACCTTGACCTTTTTTTATGACTTTGACCTAGACATGACCTTGACATTTTTTGTATCACCTTGACATGACCTTGAGTTTTTTTATATGACCTTGAGTTTTTTTTTTTTTTACCTTGAAATGACCTCGACCTTTTTATGATCTTGACCTAGGCATGACCTTGACATTTTTTGTATGACCTTGAAATTACCTTGATTTTTTTGTTGTATGACCTTGACCTTTTTTATGACCTTGACCTAGGCATGACCTTGACATTTTTTGTATGACCTTGAAATGACTGACCTTTTTTGTATGACCCTGGTATGACCTTGATTTTTTTGGTATGACCTTGAAATGACCTCGACTTTTTTATGACCTTGTCTTTGGGTCTAACCTTGAAATGACCTGACATTGGTCTGACCTTGACATTACATTAATCTGACCTTCCCGTGAGCCTGACCTTGGCCTGCCCGCTGCTTTCAGGTCGGCGGGTCCACAGAGGGCTGGACATCAACGCCCCGTCTGACGCCACGCTGCACGGGAAGCTGTTCGTCTAAAACCACCCCCAGAAGGCCGCCACCGACCCGGGAACCAACCTGAGAGGAGAGGGGGGGTCCATGGCCCCGCCGACCGGTTCTGTCCCAGTTCTGGCTCGGTTCTAGCCTGGTTCTGGTCCAGTTTTGGCCCGGTTCTAGCCTGGTTCTGGCTCGGTTCTGTACCGGTTCTAGCCTGGTTCTGGCCTTTCACGGTTCTGACCCACAGCTCT